GGGCCTAGGGTGTTTGTTCTCTCTCTCTCTCTCTCTCTCTCTCTCTCTCTCTCTCTCTCTCTCTCTCTCTCTCTCTCTCGCGTGTGTGTGTGTGTGTGTGTGTGTGTGTGTGTGTGTGTGTGTGTGTAACATTGTGTTAATTGAGTTTTATGAGTAATACAATTATCTTCAAAATTATGGTCACCTAATGAAAACTGGGCCTTGGAAATGTCAGGCAATCTGGTGGTGGGGAGCGGGAAAGCTCTGGGCACTGGCTGCAGAACTTAGAATGCTTTTGTTTTTGGTTGTCTAGGCAGTGGGAGAGAAGGAAGTGAGAAGTGTGTTTCCTGAAGCCACCATCATACGGCCGTCTGACATCTTCGGAAGGGAGGACAGGTTCCTCAATCACTTTGCAAGTACGCGTCTTTCTTCCCCAGGAGAGGAGTACTGGTGACTTAGCATGGCAAGCTGAGCACCAGCTGACCGTCCTCCCCGAGCTGCGGGGCCGAGTTCTAGTTCCTCTGCAGTTGCCTTTCCCCTCAGAGTTTGATTTTCATCGTCATGTGGTCCTTTCTGCTCTGGGTGATGAGGGTCAAGTTCAAGGTTGTGGTGTGGGTTTCGGGAGGTACAGTTTTACTCCCCCCAGCCACTGAAGGCAATGGTCATGCTTGGCTCAGAGCTGGAGACTTGAAGTTTAAACTACAGTAACTCTGTGACCTCGGCAGAGTACTAGCAAATCTCTTGAGTTCTACAAATTCCCTCTTATCTCTGTCCTGGGTGCCTGCCAACCACTGATCTTTTTACTGGCTTGGTAATTGTATCTTTTGCAAAATACTAAGACATTATAGTCACACACTCTGAAACTTTTCCCATTGACTTATTTCCCTTATATGCATTTAGGACTTGTCCCTGACTCCTGCGGACTTGTTCTTTGTGTGGCCGGATAGTATTCCTTTATGTGGCTATACCCATTTGTTGATGCAGTTTTGCTGTTTTCTTGTTTCTCCCTCTTGATTGTGCTGTCTGGAATTCTGCATTGATTTCCACTTTGTTTTTAAATTCACTGTACACTGTATATAAAATATAAAACTTATCATCTGCTAGTTCTTTCGGTTAAAGCTTTAACTCCTGATGTAACTCAGTGTGGACAAAGGGATTTGGAGGTTTTGAGTCTACATGATATCATAAGGGTTAGGTACTAGTTGATGGGGTTGGTGGCTGTACTAGGAGAGAAGGTCTCTGTGTGCACACACTGAAGAAAGGCCATGATGAGGACACAGTAAGAAGATGACCACCTACAAGCCAGAAAGAGAGCCTCACCAGGAACCTGCTGACACTTTGGCTTTGGACTTTTCAGCCTCCAGAGCTGGGAGAAAGTACAATTTGGGTTTTTAAGCCATCTAGTCTGTGGTATTTTATTGTGACAGTCTGAACAGACTAGACAGATCTGTGTGTGGAGAGGCGAAATGCTGACAGGATCTGAGGATTAGTTGGCTGTCAGGTAGGCTAGAAGAGCATGGGAGCTGTGTGGACAGGAAGAAGCTGTGCTGGCCATGTTCTCATGGCTGTGACTGAGTACCTGGCAGGAAGTGCCGTAGAGAGGTTTATTTCGGCTGACATCTTGAGGGACTCCAGTCCTCCATGGTGAGGAAGGCGTGGTAGTCGGGAGGGGAGGCAGCATGCACCATCACAACACAGCCTCTTTTTACTTGTTTGTTTGCTTTTGTTTATTTGTTTATGAGCCATCACAACCCAGCCCCCTTTCTACTTATTTATTTGTTGTTTGTGTGTTTATTCAGTCTAGAGCCTCAGAGTCTGCTGGATTTGTTACACTATTTTCGTTATGTAAACAGCTTAGACATTCTCAGGACAGTTTCTCTTTTCTTCTTCCAGATATTCGTTGGTTTATCGGTGTCCCCCTTATTTCTTTGGGTTTTAAGACAGTGAAACAACCAGTATATGTAAGTACCCTGCATGAGGGCTTAGCATGGGTGTTAGCTTGATTCAGATTTCGTTCAATTTTCTGTTTTCATTCTCATCTACTGACTTTTTTTTTTTAACTTGGTCAACTTGCTTCAGCTGGTTGCCTCAGTTTACCTAATAGGTGCATGTCTTCTCAGTGTCTTCAGTTGTCCATTCACCTAAGAAAGCTTAATTGGAACAAGTTGTGCCAAGTTGCCCAAGCTAGCCTTGAACCCAAGGTGTAGCCCAGCCAGGCCTTGATACTTACAGCCTCATTTTGCCAGGTAACCAAGGTTGTGTGCCTGGTTCTCCAGTTCTGATGTGTTAGTTCAGTAATTGCTTAAACATGTCTTATGATTTATATAATGCGCTGGCACCCTATGTTTCTGGGCGCATAGAAAAGATAACCAGTCAGACACACAGTTTTGTCCTCAGGTTCTTCTGAGGTAAATAAAACAGTCGTTATCCAATATGATAAGTGCTAGGGGAAGCAGAAGGTTTTATGTCATTGTATGAGAAGGCCGTGAAATCCAGCTTTGGACTGGTTCAGAGTCAGTTGGTAGGCCCGGGGCTCTGTTCACAACCAGGGAACAGTATACACTAGGGCGCAGAGGGCAAGGAGAAGGTGGGGCTCCATACTGGTCGGACTGGGTTGGGCCAGGGTTTCTGTCTTAGAGTTTCTATTGCTGTGACAAAACACCATGACCCAAAGTGAGTCGGGAAGGAAAGGGTTTGTTTCACCTTACAGCTTAGAAGTTCTGCACTTGGGAAGCCGGGACAGGAACTCACACCGGTCAGGAGTCCACAGGCAGCAGCTGATGCAGACTCCATGGGGGGCGCTGCTTACTGGCTTGTTCTCCACGGCTCACCTTAGGGCCACTTGCTGTTCTGTAGACCTCAGGACCACCTGCCTAGGGGTGGCACCGCTCAGAGTGGGCTAGGCCCTCCCACATCAGTCTTTAGTCCAGAAAACGCCCTGCAGATTTGCCTACAGCCCAATCCTATGGAGGCATTTTCTCGATTAAGACTCCTTCTTTCCAGATGACCCTACCTTGTGTCATGTTGGCACGAAAACTAGCAGTTTCCCAGCTGGCACTACTGGTATTTGAAGCCAGATAATTCTTCACTTCTTCATTGTGGGATGTTGAGTAGCCACTCTGACCTTTAGTCAGTAGATGCCAGGAGCAGCCAGCCATACCCCACCCCCATGACAAAAATTTCCATCGGTTGTCAGAAGGTTCCTAGAATCAAAAACCACAATTCTGGTTGTGGATTCTGGGTCTCTGGGTCTAAACTGTATGTAGTTCCTGTTTTGAACAGAATGGCAGAGCATCAGCAGCTCCGTGTGGTTCAGCCTCTAGGTTATGGTGGTTTAGGACAGAGTGGGGAAAAGTGGTAAGAGATCACATGGCTGAGATGGTGGCCTGGCCAAGTCAAGAAGGCCTTAGACTAACTAGATAAGAGTTCTGACTAGGACACTACCTGGATGAGCCTTGACTATGATTATTTGAACACCGGAGTAGACAAGTGCTTCCTTAAGGTGTCTGAGAAGAGATGGTGTCATTGTTCAGTCCCGTCCCGGTGACTGCAGCACCTGTGGTCCTCTCTGCCTTCCTTTTTCTTCCTGTCCTTCCATCTCTTTCTAAACATTTGCATATGTATGTTTGTGATCCCAGGGGTGAACCCAGGACAGCGTGAATGTCAGGCAAACACTCTACCATTGGGCTACACTCCCACCCCAATACTACCACCTCACTTTAAAAAAATGAGACATGCTGTTCTGAGTTGCCCAAGCTAGCCTTGAACCCAATGTGTAGCCCAGCCAGGCCTTGAGATTGATTCTTCTGGCTTCATCTTCCCCAGTAGCCAAGGTTATGAGCCTAGTTCTACAGGTCTGATCTCTTAATTCCACAATTGCTTAAACATGTCTTATGATTTGTATAGGTTGTGGATGTTTCCAAAGGGATTGTTAATGCGGTTAAAGATCCAGATGCCAAAGGAAAAACCTTTGCCTTTGCTGGGTAAGTGCCTAGAGTTTGCCTTTATGAAAAGATGATGGGGTTTATAAAACAATACTTTGGGCTGGAGAGATGCCTCAGCGGTTAAGAGCACTGACTGCTCTTCCAGAGGACCTGGGTTTGATTCCCAGCACCCACATGGCAGCTTACAACTGTCTGTAACTTCATTTCTAGGGGACCTGACACCCTCAGACAGACATACACACAAGCAAAGCACCAATGCATGTAAGATAAAAATAAATTTAAAAAATAAGTAAATAAAAAAAAATAAAAATAAAACAGTATTTCCTGAACAGGTCACTCACAGGATCAAAACACCTGGTGCTCACACTCAGCAGCTGGGAGAACCCAGGACTCTGCCTGACAGACATGCATGCATGAGTCTGCTAACAGTCTGAGACTACTACAAAAGCAGTCAGCACTTGGTATCTGTGGGTTCCTGTCTGCAGATTCAACTTTTTTGATAAAATATTCAAAGAATCCAGGCATGGTGACTCTCACCTATAATCCTAGTGCTTGGGAGCTGAGACAGGAGGATCACCACAAGTTTAAGGCCAGCTTCAGTTACATAGTAAGTTTAAGGCTACCCTGAGCACATAGAAAGACCCTGCCTCAAAAAGCAAAATAAAACAAAAATCACAGGGGGAGATGTCTGCACTGACAATGTGCCTTTTTTCTTAATTCCTAAGCTCGCTGATTAAGCTAGACAGTCTGGGCATCAAGCCCAAGGTACCCGCCTGTTTCTGCCTGCCCAGCATTGGGATCGCAGACATGCTCTGCTGTGCCCGGCTTCCTTATGTGGGTGCCGGGGATAGAAATTCAGTCCTCATGCTTGTGCGGCGAGCACTTAGCAACGGAGCCGTCTCCCCAGCATTTCCTAGGTTTCTGGTAGTATTAGTTGTATTGCTTTATTCTGTCATCCATTAATTAAGGATCTATAAAACACACAGGGACACACGCATATGAGAATTAATAAACAAGCTCAGTGAAGACACAAAGTAGATCAATATAAAAATCAGTTTTCATCGACTAGCGAGTAAGCGATCTGCAAACAGAATTGGGTAAATCTTACTCACAGGCTGGGGAAATGGCTCAGCAGTTAAGTGCTTGTCATGCAAGCAGCAAGACCTGAGTTTGATCTCCAGGCACCTGGTGAAAAGAAAAACAGCCAAGCAGGGCCTGAGTCAGGAGGCTCCCTGGAGTTCATTAGCTAGTCAGCTTAGCTCTATCAGTGAGCTCCAGGTTTAGTGAAAGACTGCCTCAAAAAACAAGGCACAGAGTGGTAGAGGAGGACCTCTGGCCTCCATGTGTGTGCTCAGGTGCACTCACACACGTGCCCACCTAAACGTGTACATGCACCACAGAAAGTCGTGTTCACAATAGCATAAAAAGTAGAATACTAAGGTAAATTTAGTAAGACATGCACCTAAAAAACACTATGAAAGGAAAGCAAGGAATAAATGATAAGACCTTCCAAATTCTTCAGTTGGAAGTGTCAATATTGTTAAAATGGTAGTTGTCCTTAAATTGCTCTCTAGATTGAATCTTGTCAAAATCTAGCAGTCTTTTGCAGAAAGAGACAAACTCTAAGTTTAAACAGTAATAAAGATAATATAAATCGGTAATAGGCTAAACCCTTGATCTTCCCAATTGTAAAACTTACTCTAAAGCTGTAATTATCAAGACAGTTAGTGCTGAATTAGTAAGATTGGTCGGTTAATCAGAACTGGCAGTGCAGAAACCACCTTTGTTTGCTTGTTTGTGACAGGGTCCTGCCACCTCGGTAGCCCGGGCTGCTCTAGGACTCACTGTAATCAAGACTAGTCTCATACTCCAAATCCTCTTCTTTCTTCTTCCTGGGATTATAACTCTACACCACTGGGCCCAGCTTCCAAATCATATTTGTGGACTATTGACTGACTATGAGCAAAAGTACTGTGGCCCCTGAGTGGAGAGAGGGTCGTCTTTTCAACAAGAAAAGACTCTTGGACTTCATACTCTGTGCAGAAAAGAACAGAAACGTAAGCTTTAAGTTATAAATATTTAGAACAAAACATATTCTAGACCCTGGGTTAAGCAAGATGTTTTTAGCTATATTGTCAGAAGCTTAATCCATAAAAGGGAAAAAGTTAAGTTCGACTCATCAGAATTTGAAACTTTTGTATTTCAAATGATACCATGTAAAAACGGAAAGACTGGGGCTGGAGAGATGGTTCAGTGGTTAAGAGCACTCTTTTCCAGAGATCCTGGGCTCCATCCGCAGCCCCCTTATGGTGGCTCACAGTGCCCTTGTCTGGCTTCCGTGGTCACCAGGCATGCACATCGTATGCAGATATACATGCCCACAAACAGCTCGTATACGTTAAATTAACAGAAACTTGAGTGAAGAAGGTAATATGAATGTTGAAAAAGCATATACTGAGACGGTTGATATCTTGTAGTTTCTAGGGAAAATGTAAAGTGCATCGAGGGAGCATATCATAGAGATAATAGCAAATGATAGTGACAGTGTAAAAAAAAAAATAGGAAATCTTGCAAATTGCTGCTGGCGGGAGTGTAAAATTGCACAGCTGGCCACATGAGGTGGGCCTGAAGGTGCACCTAGGATCCTAGCACTCTAGAGATGAAGGCAGGAGAATCAGAAGTTAAGGGCAGCCCGAGGTACATGGTAAGACCCTGTCTCAAAAAAAAACAAGTAAAAAAGTTAGCGTAATGGGTATGAAGGTGGCAATGGGGGGGGGGGGGGAGAAAAATAGTCTAAGGCTGGATTATGGTTATGGGTGTACAGTTTTATAAATTAAAAAAATTGAATTATAACTTGAAATGGGTGAAATTTATAGTATATGAAATATTCTAAAATAACGAATTACACAGATAAGGGTTCTGTTTTGATGGAGCTGATAGACTAGTTATAACACCCATAAGTAGTAAGCAAAGCCATATAAAATAAATCCCCAAAAGGAAAGCCCAGTGAATAGAGAAGGTGGCAGCGAGGGAGTGACAGTGACGTTGGACGCTGCAGAGGGGGGGTGGCAGCATGGTGACCTGTGGTCACCCGCTGCACGTGAACCTGATTGTGTTGGATTCGGGGGTCTCCTTGGGAGGATAGGAGGTGGAGGCAGTGGGCAAACAGCTCCAAGGAGATGGTGGTGGGGCTGGCCAGACGGCTTACAGGGTAAGGGCACTTGGCACCACATGGCTGGCCTCAACCTCACAGCAATCCTTTAGCCTCAGCCTAAGTCACCATGCCTGGCTTAACCAGAATTTCTTTACTATACAAGACCAATTTTTCTTCATGTTTTCGGTCATTTATACAACTGCCTCCCGCAAGTTGTCCTGACACCCACGTGCTCACCGTGACGGACATTGTGACCACACACAAGACACACATGGGGGAGGGGGTCAGTCAGGGGAGGTCCCAGCAGGGTTTAGACTGTAACGATTGCTTGTGTGTTGAAGAATGATCCAGTGAAGAGTGAAACAGTTGATTCCAGGGGCAGAGTAAAAGCGGAGGCTTCAGGAGTGATACATGGGACAGTGCAAAGGACGGCCTAGCCACCCCTAAAGCCATCCTTCCTCCACCTTGCCAGGGACCAAGTGAGCCTATGTAGACCGCTGTGAGAGACAGGAGAGTATCGGCTGGTAGACAGGATGGCTTGGCTCAGAAAAGCCAGTGGAAATGCTGAGGTCATAGGTCAGTTCCCCCAAGAACTCAATTGACAGGCAGACCTGAAAGTATCATTTGAAATCACTGAGAGAGATGAGAGGTGAGGTCAGTTAGTTGGGAGGTTTTCTCTCCTTTTGGTATTTTTTCCTAGAGAAGGAAGGCAGTATCTACCTTAACCGGTGTAGGGATTTGGCTGACAAGCATAGTGGAGAGGGTCTCGGACACAGGCTTTGCTGAGGATGTCTGTGACGATGATTCTTAACGCTGAACTGTGACCTGCAGGCTGGGAAGGATGTCGGCTCCCAGGGCCCCTTTCTCTGTGAGCAAGGGGTCTTTGCTTAGTCTGGTCACACTTAATGGGACGTGTTGCTGGAGGAGGCACCTTGCACACAGGTAGCTTAGCCCTGGTCTAGTGCTGCCCACAGTGTACAAACCAGAGAGCCTTGAAAACCCTGCTGGGATCTAAGGGCTTTTTGAGGGTTCTGTGTGATACTTCCTCTAGCTGACATCAGCATTTCCTTTTACATGGTGGTTTTGTTTTGTTTTTAATGTTTGTTTGTTTGTTTGTTTGTTTTTGTAAGCTGTTGAAATAATAAGGTTTGTAACAAATTCTCTTCACTTTGCTCTCAGTAATAGATCTTTCTGAGGCAAATAGCGTTAGGAAGATGGGTGGGCAGAGCTGAAATGTAAGTGACGGTTAGTTATTAAAGCTGGGCCCACATTCATGTGTGGAAAACCTATGTGGAAAGGCTGACAGTTCAGAAGATGGCCTTGGTTTTGGTCATTGTAAGGGAGAGAAACTATCAGGAAAGAAAGGTGTATAAATGACCAAAAATACGAAGAAAAATTAGTTTTGTATATTAAAGAAATTCTGGTTAAGCCAGGCATGGTGACTTAGGCTGAGGCAAAAGGATTGCTGTGAGTCTGAGGCCAGCCAGGGAGGGCTACATAGTTTGCCCCAATGTCAAAGGGAACAAAAAGATAAATGCATAGGGTGCATCATAAACATGTGTACGAGGATGGGAAGGGTGTATAAAATAGGTCGTCTTTGGCAGTAAGGTTAACAGGTGATTTTTCTTTGCTTAACTCTGTTTGTTGCAGTGTGCTTCTTTTTTTGTAAGTGTTAATTGTTTAAAAAAAAATTGTAGGGGGCAAATAATATGAAGTTCTGTGTTTTGGTTTCCAGACCAAATCGATACCTGCTCTTTCACCTGGTGCAGTACATATATGGCATGGCCCACAGGACCTACATCCCCTACCCCTTGCCACAATTTGCCTATAGGTAAGTACAGTGCTGTCTATCTGTCTGCTCACAAGAAGGTTGACTTGAGATGCTATTCCTAATCCCTTCCCAGGGTGACAAGAAGTACTTTTACAGAAGGCCAGTCTCCACACCTCTAATGAGGCTACTCCTGTTTTAATACTGACTAAGAAAGGAACTGTGGGTGACCTTAACAAGCAAGGATGACCTTGACAGCATTTGTTGGGTAGTTCTTCAGATTGTCCAATTTAAAACCCTAGGGCTGGGGATCTGTCTGAGAGGCAGAGCATTTGTGGCAGTGTGAGGCTCTGGGTTTGATCCCCGGTGTCTTGAACAAATAAGCAACAGTAAAAACTGGGTTTTGATTTGGAGAAGTGTCTTGCTTGGGACCTGGTGAGGGAACAGTCAGCTCTCCTTTCTTTCTAGCTGCCCACCAGGGAAGGCTCTCATCCCTTGTTAAGGCAGTCTTGGTGTTGCTGGGGAGGAGGATGCTGACCTAGAACCGGCTCTTCATCTTTAGTCTCTCCCTCCCTCCCTCCCTCCCTCCCTCCCTCCCTCCCTCCCTCCCTCCCTCCCTCCCTCCCTCCCTCCCTCCCTCCCTCCCTCCCTCCTTCCTTCCTTCCTTTCTTTCATTCATTCATTTCTTCTTTTTTGGGGACTACAATTTTAGACCTTCTGGGGATGGTAGCTCAGCATGTGCAAGGTCCTGGGCTCATTCCCCAGCATGGTAACACTACATTCATTCTTCCGATATGTTTTTCATTCTGGACCCATCAAGGCACGTCTTAGTAGTCTTGGCAGGAAGATTTTCACATCTAATGTGCCAGAGATGGATTTATAAATCATTTCTTCATTTACTCAGCAAATATTTATTGACTGCCTTCCATTTCTTAGGTCCTGTTCTAGGCACCTAAGACATTACAGCAAATACTTGAGTAGCTTGTGGTCTATAGGCTGTAGGTATAGCTCTGTGGTTGTACGGTGTGCTGAGCACCAAAAACAAGACAAAAGAACTTCAACAACAAAAAACGCAGCACAGCATGCTGCCTTTAGAGGCTTTTCTTTGACTTCTTTAACACTCATAAGTCAACAGGGATAGAGTGTGGACAGAGGGAGCAGAGGAAGGCCCCAGAAGCCAGAAGACTGGCCACACTAAACAGGTAGCAGATGATGAGAGCTGCTGAGTGGAGGATGCTTAAAACATCAAGAGAGGTCGAGAGGAAAAGTCGTTTTGTTTATTTCCTGGCTCCATATACCACACTAGCTTGGAACTTGCTGGGCAGGCTAGGCTGGCTTTGAATTTGGAACAGTCCTGCTTCTGCCTCTGGAGTTCTGAATCACAGGTGTCTTTTTGAAGGGTTGGTTGGTTGATTGGTTTGTGGTGCTAGATCAGACCCTGAACCTCTTACATGCTAGGCAAGCATTCCACTGCTGAATTGAGCCCTCACCCAGGAAGCGGGGATTAAAAGCACAAGCATCTGAGGAGGAGAATGCTGCCCTTTTGTTCACACTCCTGTCTCCAGTATCTAGAGCAGTTACAGAGGAATCAGGCCAGGTGTTTCTTGGCCTCTTATCCTAAGGGTGGAAGATAAGGGCTCACTTTGCAAAAGTAGCAACACAACTATTCAAAGCAAACTGGTGGCGCAGATTAGAGAGGGGTATGCTGTTAATACTGACGGCAGGCCACATCAGAGAAGGTACTTGGGGGGACCAATTATTGTTTTGGGATTCCTCTTAGGAGGTTCAAGAGAAGGAGGAATTTGGTTGCTAAGGAGAGTAGCTAGTGGAGTTCTTCATTTTGATTAACAGATTAGGTCATATAATCATTTTTCTATATGTCTATATCCATAATGCAACTGATTTTAGTCACATGCAAGCCCCGCTTTACATAGATGTGAGATGGTAAATTGGTTCTTCTTAAAAGTTTACTTGAGGACACAATTTTACTTGACTGTGTATGCACTCAAAACCAGTTCAGGCTGGATCAGAGTTTGCATTCTTTGTACCCAAGTGCACTGGGAATACATTTGAAGAGAAACTGCCCCAAGATTGATGGTCATTAGGGAAGGAGAAACTAATCCATTCAGAGAGGAGTAGATGGGTAGCCAGATGCAGGTAGGGGTCCAAAGTTGCTATGTCCAATGTTTGGAGAGGTGTATACATGCATAGTACATCCAGGTGAAGGAGCTAGACCAAGTGCATTATGAGAATGGGCAGGTGTGCATGACCCACGTCCAGTTAGAGTCTGAGGTTACTGAACTATCCCCTATGCTTGTCTGCCTCAGCATCCTGCCTGGTGCACAGACGGCCCCTCCATTCATATTTGTGGACTGGCATGCTAGTGATGTAAAGAACAAGAGATCTCCACAAAGGGAGGGGAAGTCATTTGGGACACCAGCTTTAGTGCAGTGGAGGACTATGAACCGCGAGGCAGGGAGGCAGTTCATGTTGCACATGAAGGTGCGGGTTAAGTCAGGGTTGGTAGGCACAGGTGGTGTGGCCCACTGAGGATGTTGTGTAGTCCATACGAGATCTGTTAGTGTGGATCCAGACATGGGAGCTGCTCTTAGGAAGAGTGACTATAGCTGGGATTTTATATGCTGCTCCAGCACTCGGAAGGCAGAGGCAGGCAGATCTCTGTGAGTTTGAGGCCAGCCTGGGCTACAGAGTGAGATCCAGGGCAAGCTCCAAAGCTACACAGAGAAACCCTGTTTTGAAAAAAACACAACAACAACAAAAACCCAAGAAATTCTGAGCAGACCCAAGGCTTCCTTTTTCATGGATTTCTTTTAGCAGTGAGAATGTTCTTTCAAGCTTTTAAAAAGAGGGCTGGGATCATTGCTGTCAGCAGTAGAGTACTTACTTAGCACATGTGAGGCCCTAAGTTTGGTCCCTAACACCCCACCCCCCAAAAAAGCTGTAGATGTAGACAGGTGTGGTGGCACATGCCTTTAATCCCAGCACTTGGGAGGTGGAGGCAGAAGGATTAGGAGTTCAAGATCATCATCAGCTGCATAGTGACTTTGAGGCCAGACTGGGGTACATGAGACCCCGATTTAAAAATCCAGGAAAGGAAGGGCGGGAAGAAGGATGAATTTGATATACCTTCACAACAGTAGAGCCAAGGAGATGGTTATGGTCTCAGAAAACCCCAATGACAAAACCTCCTGGAGGTCTGGCCCCTGAAACCCGGCTCAGAGACGCTTTTCACCTGTGCCGTACATGTCTCCACTCCAGGTGGATTGCCAGGCTCTTTGAAATGAGTCCGTTTGAGCCCTGGACATCGAGGGACAAAGTGGAGCGGGTAAGTCTGGGCATAGCAAGCCTCTCAGCAGGCAGAGCGCTGCAGAGCTGAAGAAGCCAGTTCAGTTTGATTGACTTGCTTGGATGATGGCAGGGCTCCTGTCGGGGATATTTCTGCTGCCAAGGCTAGCTCTTCTGCTTCTGACTGATGTGTATTCATTCTCATTTCCTGTCCATATTCAAGCATGCATAACGGTTACCTGTCCCTTACTGAAGGCCAGGCTCTCCTGCCCGGGGCCCTCTAGTCACCTTGCTATTGGTTGTGTTCCCCTACAGCCCTTTTGGTTTCCGAAACTCACTGTGTAGGTGAAGGTGACCTTGGCTTCCTGATGTCTTTGCTTCTACAGCTAAGTGCTGGGATTACAGGTGTGCCACCATGCCTGGCTTTCCCTTCATACCTTAACCTCTGAAGAGCAACCCATACCTGCTCCCAATATGCTCTTGCCTCGTTCTTTCTTTAATCCATTTAAATCAAATTTTACCCCCTCTACCCTAAGCTGCTCTTTCCAAGGCTGCCCACAACCCAGTGCTGCCACCTCGCAGTCAGTTTCCTGATATCATCGTACTCCTACTATGCAGCACTTGTTAAAGGACCTCATTTCTTCCATTTGAAATGGTGTTTGCAGCTGTCTGACCCAGGCTGCATTCTCTGGCTTTCCCTTCTCACATTGGGCTGGAGGATCTGTTCCCACTGCCCTTCAAATCCTAATTGCTGTCTGTTCTGATTGGGGGGGGGGGTCACAGCCTCAGCCATTTCCATTTCTGTTTGTAAATTATGCTCATCCCAGTTACCAGCTGCTGCTGCTAAAGGGCATGCTACAGGTTTTCTCCCATTTTGTAGTCTCCTGTTGAACTATGCAGACATAGTAACGTGCTGTAACTAGAACTGCAACCTGTTTGTGTGTCCGTATGTGTAATTTTTGTTGTTGTTGTTTGTTTGTTTTTTACTGTTATCAGGGGTTTTTATTGTTTTGAGATGGGGTCTTGCTATGTACCCCAGCTGTCCTGGTGCTCACAGTGCAGCCCAAGCTGACTCTGAGCTCGTCTTTTCTCAGCTCCCAAATGCCGGGATTACGGCATGTACCACCACCATGCCCAGCCTTTGCAAACTTGTGTTCTGTCCTCGGCTTTCAATGATGGCCCTTTCTATGTTGTCCATGTAAAACAACTAGTAATCTCCTGTAGTTGTGATGCCTCTTCTAGACCTGATCCAGCATTGCCCATGGGACTTCCCGCAGTGTTCAAAGTGGCCTGTCTGTACACCACATTGTCAGCAGCAATGTGTGATGTGGAGGACTTGATACGTGGCTACCATGGCTGCAGAGAGCAGATTTGCACTCTACTTAATTTTAGTTCACTGAACCTGAAATTTGAATCACACTTGACCAGAGGCTTCTGTGTTAGATGGTAAAGGGCTAGACCCTCAGCAACCCTCAGTAGATGCCAGGTTGGGCCACTCCTAACTCCTGCCTGTTCATCTAGTGTTCCATTAGGAACATGCTTCTAGTAATACTGGAAGTTTGCCACGTACTGAGGGCAGAGTGCATGGTTGTGTCCCTGCCTACGGTAACCCAGGCAACAGTCCTCTTCCTCTCGGAGAGCCTCTTGCTGCCGCTCTTGTCTGCCTGCAGTATGCTGAGCTTCAAAGCCCTGGCTCTTCTTCCTCACCTTACCACGCTTGTCTGACTCATTGATTATTTGCTCTGTGTGCCCAAATCTTGCTGGGAAGATGCCAAATAAAATAAAAATATGACAGCATCTCAGCCAGAATACTGTAGATTTTCTTTCTATTGACAGGATGCAGCCAAACTGTCCCCTAAGAGCCAAAGCATAGCAAAGAATTGAGAACAGTCCCAGAGAACAGATAGCCAGTAGCTGTTTACCTCCCTCTGGCAGACTGCCTGGAAAGCAGAGACATTTCCATGGTGTCCTACTGTGTTTGTGAACCCCGTTGTCTGACACTCGCTCTTACCTTGGTGACTGAGAAAGTATGAGTATAGTGGGCAGGGTCTCGGGTTTGGTTTGCAGACAGCCCTAGAGCACTCAGTAAACACCCTGTGCTCCTTCCGTGTTGTTCATTGGCGGTCACAGGATGGGACCTGGTCCAGTTCCGTGTACAGAGGGGTCTATTTGCTTCAGTGCTTTTTGTTCATTCTTCCCTAAACAAGATGGGTTTGGCTTCTGGCTTTGTAGTGAGCATTCCTTAACCCAGGTTGAGTATAATTGGAGTGAAAAAGGCAATGGGGCCAGACATGGTGTCCTAACCCGCAGTCCCAACACTTGGGAGGCTGAGACAAGCATCACAAGTTTGAGGTTCGCTTGGGTTGCATAAAGGGTTCCCAGGGGTTACAGTGTGAGACGCTGTTGTGGGAGATTTGTTTATGTTGTTGCTCCGAGACTGCCAGTGGATTGGGACCTTGGTTTGGAGGGTGAAGTCCACCTTCAGCTGGTCAGAGTGGACCATAGAGTTTTCTGGCCGACTCAGAGGGAGATAGAGGGACACACAGAGGGAATAAGAAGGGACTTAAAGAGAAGTGAGGACCTTTTTGATCTGGGAAGGTGGAGAAGAGGGTCGGGTGATCATTTCTCCATTGCTCCATCGATCTATCAAGTTATTCCCTAATATTTAACTCCTGAGCATTATTTTTTGATAAACAATAAAAGAAGCCACAATATCTGATGCTCCCTATGGAGTGCCAAATATAGTAGTACTTTCTTGTTGGGACCACCAGCCTGCAAATAATGACACAGAGACTTCTTATTAATTGTAAAAGCTTGGCCTTAGCTTCGGCTTTTTTAAACTAGTTCTTATAACTTAAATTAACTCATATTTTTTAATCTACCTTCTTCCATGAAGCTCATTACCTCATCTCCTTCCTTCCCTTCCTGCTTCCCCCACTTCTGACTGGTGACTCCACCTTTCATCTTCCCAGAGTTCCCTCTGTGTCCAGAAGTCCCACCTCTACTCTCCTGCCTAGCTATTGGCCATTCAGCTTTTTATTACACCAATCACAGCAGTACATCTTCACACAGTGTACAAATATCCCCCAACAAGACACTGTCAAAAAATTCCAAAACCAAACCAGAATAAAAAGTTAAAACTTAAGTAGAGAGCTGGAACGCAGAGATTCCGCATAAGAAAGCGGAGGTGGGCTTGTTCTAGTCTAGCTCCTATCTGAATCCTGGCTGGCGAGACAGCTCCTGCCTCTGTACTAGGTTCAGTTCTGTGCACATGTGCCCGTGGATCTGCTGGTCCAGGGTCTGTCCTGGGTCCTGGGCAATGGGAGCCCTGCCTCTGCTCTTTGATGATCTTCGTGTTTGTTCCAGAATCAAAGGTTGCTATGGCTTCTCGGCAGGTGTTTGCCTCGGGCCAGCTTGAGAGTGTGGGTACTTTAGAGGTGGTGGTTCCAGCGTTCTCTGTGCTCCTTTGTTCACAGATACACATCTCAGATGTGAACGTGCCTGACCTGCCTGGCCTGGAAGATCTTGGCATTCAGGCCACACCACTGGAACTCAAGGCCATTGAGGTGCTGCGGCGGCATCGCACTTACCGCTGGCTGTCTTCTGAGATCGAAGAAACAAAGCCTGCCAAGACAGTCGACTATTAATGTCAGCCAGGCCACTTGAGTTCTTCAGAACGCATTACGTAGTAACGGGGTCACGCCATTAAATGTCTGTGGGTTCAATCTGCTGCATGTTTCTTTCTTGATTAGTCAGAGGAGAACTCTCAGGCATTCAGAGCTGAGCCTAGTTTTCTTTAAATAACTATTTATAATATTGACACATGTCACTGTTCTCTGAAATGTTGGAGGGTTTGGAATTCTTAGACCAAGGCCCTATCTTCAAAGTCGAAATATTGTTATGATCTCGGGGAATGCATGGTTATGTAGAAGTATTCAGTATAAATGAGCACATACACATTTAAAACTGGTCTGAGTTTGTTGGGCTCTTGTTCTCACGTGATGGAATGAACGTCGTGTTATCTAATGGTAGAAGGAGACAGAGGGGTGGGAGGGGAGCAGGGAACTCAACTGGTCTGTTTTTTCTTTGATGCAGTGCTGGCTGGGGATGGAACCCAGAGCTTTGTGCATGTAAGGCAAGCGTTCTGAGACCGAGCTACACCCTTTCCCTCTTTTGTGACAACAGTGATCACTTATGATGGCAGAGCTCTTAAAATCTAGTCACCTAAACCAAGTCCAGGCAGGGGTTCTGCTGCACTCGGACTAAGCTTCCGTATGAACTTTGGAGGGAGACACACTTTCCAAACCACATCAGTTAAGGCAGCCGTTTCACCACCCAGGCTCATTCGGGTTCTCTTGAGTGCAGATCACACATACGGGGCTGTGAGGACTTAAGATCTGGGACAGCTGCTTAGGGAGCCGTTTCATGAGGAAGAGGGCTGGTGGAGTTTCCCTAGATAGAGGTTATTCCTCTGGGGACTTCAGGTGTGCCCTCATGGAGGTGAACTTACAGCTTGTAGTCTCTCGCTTCAACTTGCTCCTTACCTGATCTTCATAGCTGACTTGAGCCTGCAGGACCCTCAGCCCCATTACCATTTCCTTTTCATTAGTCACTGAGACTTATCATCAACTTGTGTAATTTAACAAATTACCCTCTGCTGTTACTCTGAATTCCTTCCATGTTCATTCAGAGCCCTCCTCATGTGTCCTTCAACCTTGCTTAGAACCTAAGAGCATCCCCCATACTGTATCCTACTAGTAAACGTAAGTTCTATCATGTCTGCTAAGAGCTCAGAGAGGATGAGGAAGAGTCCAGGGATGTCTGGACAGATCAGGAAAAAAATCTATAGAAAATGAACTTTTTAAGTTAAATAGTAGGTCTAACCAGGAATGTATGTGGGGTGCAAATGTGTGCTTACATGTGTGTGGGGTGTTTGTGTGTGTTTCATTTGCATGCCGATCACTCATCCATTCTCTGTGAAGAGAACACTATGCACAGATACCTATGGTGTGACCGTAAAGGTAATTCTCAAGAGGAGACTGTGTTCTGGGACAGGGCAGGTGACCTCTATACAGATTGGCTTCAAATATGAATTCTAAGAGAAATTGTTGGTGGGAATGTTAACCAATGCAGCCACTGTGGAAATGGAGGCCCGAAGGATACTCAAAAAACTGAAAATAGAATTCTTATATGCCCCATGTGCCACTCTAGAGTATACAACTGAAGGACCCTACGTCAGCATACTATAGAGATACCTGCACATCCATGTGTACAGTAGCACTGTTCACAATATCAAGGTATGCAGTCTTCTAGATGCCCGTCAACAGATACATGGATAAAGGAAATACGGTGCTTATGTACAGTCAGAGGCTTTTGGTTGTGTTTTTTCTCTTTTGGCCAAAAAGAAGAATGAAATCATGTCATTTGTAGGAAAATAGGCTGGAGATCATTAGGTGAAAAGCCAGACTTAAGAAGACAGTATCACATCTTCTCTCATGTGGACTCTAGACTTCAATATATGTGGACATGACAGTAGGATGGAACTACTGGAGAGAGGATGGGAGGGGAGGAGGGAATAAGAAAGATAACAGGTGGGGATAAAGACATAATATTACATATGTTATCTCATACCAAGCCTAGTTTTAAGTGTGTGAGTGCGTGTGCATATGCACACTTGTCATGGTGTATGTGTGTCCTCTATATGAGATCAGAGGACAACTTGAAGAAATTGATTCTCTTCCACCACATGGATCTCAGGGATCAAACTCAGGTCATCTGGCTTAGCAACATGTGCCTTTACCTGCTGCACCATGTCACCAGACCCTTTTCTTTCTTGTGTGCAGAGTCTCAGTCTAGTTCAGGATGGCCTAGAATTCACTGTGTAGTCCAGGCTAGCCTTGGGTTTGCAGCAACTTTCCTGCCACAGTCTCCTAAATGCTAAGATTACAAATATGAGCCACTATTATTGGGGGGCAGGGCAGAGGGAGACCAGCAGAGATGGAGAAAATGGGGGACAAAGGGAAATATGAGTAAGATACAAGGATGTATATGAAGATACCACATACATAACACAGTCCATTATTTTGTAGATACTAAATTTTAATGTAGAAAATAAGTAGGCATTTTAGTACTTCCTTGCTGTAAAAGTTGGGTAAGTCTACCAGTCTTCTTTTCTCAGCCTTTATTTTCTTGTCTGTAAAATCAGGTGACCATAACTACATTCTGGGATTGTGGTGAGAAGCTGAATGAGATAATGCATTTGAAATACTGAGCTTGTTTGGTTGCCCACCATAACTAGATGGTAAGGATACCACACACTTGGTTGTAGGAACAGAGAGATCAATCTTTAACTGATGGGGACCCTTCCTCCCTATGGGCTTGCATTCATAGTGCTGGAAGGTGCTATTCAGGCTGCTGGGGGAGGAAGGCCATCCAAGTCTTACCCAGTGCTGGACCTGCATGTTACAGTGACGGCCAGCCGGTGCAACAGTGGTATGACTGTAATGGTCATAACCAACTGGTTTCTAGTCGGATCTGAGGCCTACTCTGCAGGACAGGATTTATGGCTAATGCCATAAACCTGGCCAAAAGTCCAGGGATGGATCAGAGGCTGTAGGGGGAACCTACAACTGGTTTTGCTAAATGCTTATGTTTCAAACTGTCTTCTAAATATTTATGTTATACCTATAAATTAGTGTGCTCTCAGCCTTGGTCAGAGGAGCACATGGTATGCCCTAAGTCAATATGAACTTCCGTTCTTTCACTACGAACATTGTCCTTACAATTGTTTCCTGACTTAATAAAGCAGCTGCCATGCCAGGTATGGTGTTGCCGGCCTCAGGAGGCTGAAGCAGGACAATTTCCAGCTCAGTGTCAGCTTGGGCAACTGCCTGGGACCTTGTTTTAAGCTAACCTTTAAAAAGCGCTCGGGTGGTTGTGGAGAAAAGTCTTAGTGGTTACGAGCACTCGCTGGTTCAGTCCTCAGCACCCATTACGACATTTATGCACATATAAAAGACATGAAAGGGCTTGGGACATTAGAGTTCTTACTTAGTTGTGCAAAGTTCTATCTCCAGAGCTACAAGAACAAACCAACGGTGGCTGTTTCTAAAAGGGAGGAAGAGACGCCAGTTTTCTGAAAAATGACAAGGACTGAGAGAAGGTGAGTGGCCTTATCCATCAGCTGAGTTGGGTTTCTGAATCTCGTAAAAATGATGGCTTTTGTTTCAGGAAAACATGAAGGATGCATGGACAAAGCTTGTCAGATTTACATTCTGGAAGTGCACAGGAGGTGTGGTGGAGCAAAAGTGTGTTTGGAGAAACCTTCCCCGTGAAGGAAGGGTCCAAGAGAATGGGAGGGGGAAGTGTGAATAGTCAGGAAGGTTGAGGGCATCCATGAAGAACAAATCCCGACACAGTAAGCCAGGGCTTTGATCTGGGAAGATGCTGCAAAGGAGGACGGGACTGGTAGAGGAGAGAGGGCAGAATGAAGTCTGAACTCAGCACCGCGGGGTCCGTGGGCAGACTCTCAAGGGCCGGGTGAGATGGGAGGTAAGTCTTCGGGCACTTAAGGCCACTTGGCTTGTGTCCAGGAGCTCCAGGGCTATCTGTAGGGAGTCTAGGGTCTCATGTCTGGGAGCAGCTTGTCTGGGTGGTTAGGCTGAGGGGAATTTTAGGCTTATGACCACCTTGGTTGGCAGAGGCAAAATTTTTAAGTCCGTCAGTGTGAGCTGGCACCAATGGTCACTGCCACTTGTCTGGTCCTGGAGAGGGCATGAGGGTCACAATCAAGTGCCCAGATGGAAAAAAAATCCCTCAAGGATACAATGTGTGACTTTATTCATTTATGAACAGGGTCACATATGGCCTAGGCTGGTCTTGGACTCACAACTGAGAATGACCTTGAGTTTGTGATTCTCAGTGCTTCTACCTCCTGAGTGCTGGGGTTACAGATGTGCACCACCACACACAGTTTATGTGGAGCTTGTTCGTGCCAGGCAAGCACTCTACCCACTGAACTACATCTCTACCCTGTGCTTTTATTTTTTAACACTCCACCTTCCTTTAAAATCTTTATACAGAATGTAAAACACACGGGAAAGTGGTCTGCACGTCTGTGTTTTGTTGAGAATGTCTGGCATCTATTGAACAAATATGAGTGTGGTGGTTTGAATAGGAATGACCCCCATAGACTTTGAAAGCTTGGCCCTTAGGAAGTGGCACTATTTTGAGGTGTGGCCTTGCTGGAGGAAGTGTGTCACTGTGGAGACAGGCATTGGGGTCTTATATCCTCAAACTAGGTCTCCTAGGAAAGTCTCCTGTTGCCTGTGGATCAAGATGTAGAACTCTCAGCTCCTTCTCCAGCACCATGTCTGGCTGCATGCCACCATGCTTCTTGCCATGATGGTAATGGACTAAACCTCTGAAACTGTGATCCAGCCACAATTAAATGTTTTCTTTCCAAACAAAAAGAGTTGCCTCAGTCGTGGTGTCTCTTCACAGCAATAAAACCCTAAGACAGAGAGCCAGAGAGATTCTTTCCTTGTATTTAAATGGATCAAGGAAGCGAATAAAAATAGAGTAGAATGGGTTTGGGGCATGTCAAGAGGAGCCAGGAGACCATTGTTGTACTGGGTTTCTGACAGGTCCCTAGGAAAGCCGCTCTTTGACTTGAACTGCAGAAGGCCATTCTCCCAGGTGCACTGATCTGTGAGCAAGGACAAAGGAAGTTTCCTGAGGCCTTGGTCTGTTAAATTGCATTCTAGAGACCCAGGCTGTACCCAAACCCTTGCATGACAGCTTCCAGATTATCTACAATTAAGTGTATTTTTCCCTTGTTCTTAACCAAGTTAAATTTTATTCTCAGTTAACAGATGAAAATTCCATCTAACCCCCAGATTTTCTGGTCTTGTTCAAGTAACAAGAATTTAAATTGCAATTGCTTTTCAAAGCTTTCAGCTAGGATT